TTTTTTTTTTTTTTTTTTCTGTCTTTTTTTTTTTTTTTTTTTTTTTCTAATGTGGAGAAATTCCAACCATGAGAGAGAAGAGACCCAAGAGTTAGAGGCAGTGCCCAGAGGGGCCTGGAAATCCTCTCTTGTCTCATTGCCCTAGCTGTTCCTCATCCTTTCACTGATAAGGGTGCCAGAGAGGCGCTTCCTCCAAAGTTGCTGGTTAGTGCTGGCAGTCATATACCTCCTTTTACGGTTTGGTGGCAGACAGTATAAAGTCGTTTTGGCTCTTAGTTCGCCATGAAGTCATCTTTTTTGTCTGATTTGGACAAAAGAAAAGTTTCATTGAATTTTGATTGGAGTTAGTTCAGTTCCCCAGTGTTTACCAGGCAGTGTCATAGAATCTGGAGATAAAGTGAAGCAGACACTAGACTGAAGAATGTTTACTGTGCGTTCCGGAAAACAGACTGAGCCACTCAGATGCCCCATATTTTAATAAATGAATATCATGGGACGATGTTATGAATGAGGATTACTATATAGATTTGACAGAGTCCCAGTTTTATAATTTTTAAATTTTTATTACAAAATTTTTTTTAAATGTTTATTTATTTTTGAAAGAAAGACAGAGCGTGAGCAGGGGAGGGTCAGAGAGAGAGGGAAACACAGAATCGGAAGCAGGCTCCAGGCTCTGAGCTGTCAGCACAGAGCCCGACGTGGGCTCGAACTCACGAACCATGAGATTGTGACCTGAGCCGAGGTTGGACACTCAACCGACTGAGTGACCCAGGCACCCCTACATTTTTCTTATCTTTATTATTTTTGTATTAAATTTTTTTTAAATGTTTATTTATTTTGGGGGAGAGAGAGAGACAGAGCGTGAGTGGTGGAGGGGGCAGAGAGAGAGGGAGACACAGAATCCAAAGCAGGTTCCGGGCTCTGAGCTGTCAGCATAGAGCCTGATGCAGGGCTCGAACTCACGAACCGTGAGACCGTGACCTGAGCTGAAGTCAGACGTCCAACCCACTGAGCCACCCAGGTGCCCAAATCCTTATTATTTGTAAAAGTAAGCTCTACAGCATGGGGTTGAACTCACAACCCCTAGGTCAAGAGTCACCTTCTCTACTGACTGAGCCAGCCAGGTTCCTGGAGTCCTGGTTTTTGTTTTTGTTTTTATAAGTTTATTCATTTATTATTTCTGAGAGAGAGAGAGAGAGCGGGGGCTGGGGGGAGCGAGGTCAGAGAGAGAGGGAGACACAGAATCCAGAAGCAGGCCACAGAAGGCCACAGAAGCAGGCCACAGGGTCTGAGCTGTCAGCACAGAGCTCGACACGGGGCTTGAACTCACAAACCGTGAGATCATGACATGAGCCAAAGCTGGATGCTTAACCGACTGAGCCCTCCAGGCGCCCCCGGAGTCCTAGTTTTAAGGTAACATATTTCAGTATTGGCTCTAAAGTTTTACGGAGGTGGTCATGTGAGCAGTAGCAGTGTCTTGAAATGTTGGCAAGTATTATTCCAGCAGATTCACCAGAATGTGAATCAATTACCATGTATCAGCCTCTCCTCTGAACTTAAACTTTCCACCCTCTTTCAAAAAAATTATCATGTATCAGATAATTGGAGTATGCTTGCAGGCTAAAATTACCATTGCAATCAATTCCCATGCCTAGAGGCATAAACAGATTATCAGCCAGGGAATTGGGAAGAAATCCCATATTCCTTTTTGAACCTGAGAGCCTGCTTTTGCTAAGTCACTGTAGTTTTAGCTTTGCTACCTGTTGCAAAATACTACATTAAAAGCGCCATTTTCCCTTGTACTTTTTTTTTTAAGTCCTTATCTTTCTATTCTTTTAATGATGCGTACCAAAACATTTGCAGATGAGCGATGTAATATCTAGAATTTCCTTTAGAGTAATCTAGGGATGGGGATGTGAGTTGCGCACAGATGAAACCAGGCTAGGCACGTGTTGGTCAGAGTCAGGTGATGAGTTTGTGGAGGGTTATGCCATTCTCTACGTTGGTACAGGTTCGAAATTCTTGGTAGTAAAGTTTCTAAAAACACCGTTTTCCGTTAGCAGTTTCCAGGCTGGTTTTCCTATGACCTTTTTTTTTTTTTTTTAATGTTTGTTTATGTTGGCGGGGGGAAGGGCAGAGAGAGAGAGGGAGACAGAGGACCCAAAGCCGGCTCTGCGCTGACAGCAGAGAGCCCCATGGGGGGCTCAAACTCATGAACCAAACCATGAGATCATGACCTGAGTTGAAGTCGGACGCTCAACCGACTGAGCCACCCAGGCGCCCCTTAGGGCCATTTTAGTGTCTGAAAGGCAAGCCTGGATGTTGATCCATGTTGCCATGTTATAATATAATTGGTAAGTGCCCTGAGATGATAACCTGGTTGATTACACAGATGGACCACACTCAAGCACGATGCCCTCTGCTTCTTCCCGGGAGGGACGGAGGAGCAGCGGGTGAGAGCATCCTGGAGCCCCGCTGTCTGGCTTTGATCCCTATTCTGCCCACTTTCTAGCTGGGAGGCCTCAGGCCCTGGGAATCGTGCTTCCTTCCCTGTTGAAGGAAGGGGCGAATGGTAATATCTGCTTCGTGGGGCTGTTGTAAGGATTAAATGGGTAGCTCGTAGGAGGTGCTCCCTAAAGGTTGCTGTGATCCCTCCTAGAACATGAACGATTGGATGCCCATCGCCAAGGAGTATGACCCGCTTAAAGCTGGCAGCATTGACGGCACCGATGAAGACCCACACGATCGCGCTATCTGGAGGGCAATGTTGGCACGATACACCCCCAACAAAGGCGTCACGGGAGACCCCCTCCTCACCCTGTTCGTGGCGAGACTAAACCTGCAGACCAAAGAGGAGAAGTTAAAGGAAGTATTTTCTCGCTACGGGGACATCCGGCGGCTTCGGCTGGTGAGGGACTTGGTCACGGGCTTTTCGAAAGGCTATGCCTTCATCGAATACAAAGAGGAGCGTTCTCTGATCAAAGCTTACCGAGATGCAGACGGCCTGGTTATTGACCAGCACGAGATATTCGTGGACTACGAACTGGAAAGGACCCTCAAAGGGTGGATCCCTCGGCGCCTTGGAGGAGGTCTGGGGGGGAAAAAGGAATCCGGGCAGCTGAGATTTGGGGGGCGGGATCGACCTTTTCGGAAACCCATTAATTTGCCAGTTGTTAAAAACGACCAGTACAGAGAGGTAAAAAGGGAAAAACGGGAGCGATCTCGGTCGCGAGAGAGACACTGGGACTCTCGGACGAGGGACCGAGACCATGACCGAGGCAGGGAGAAGAGATGGCAGGAGAGAGAGGCAACCAGGGTGTGGCCAGAAAGTGACTGGGAGAGAGAGAGGGACTTCAGAGATGACAGAGCCAAGGGGAGGGAGAAGAGGGACCGAAGTAAGTAGAGGCTCACCAGCACCACCAGAGCCCAAACAAAGACACCGCGGAGGCACAGAGAGATGCGTGGCTTTTATACAAAGTGTACGTCCAGTGCTTGAATAAAACTTGCTGGTGGTGATGGGGTCTGGAGTTGAGTTTTCTTTCCAGTCTAGAACCCAGGTTTAAGCTGAACACGCTGATAATTACGGGGTTTCTCCTCTTCACCTTGTAGTTCTAAGGACCCATTACATTTATTACAGTCGTGTCCTCACCGGCAGCCATACAGAAGGGCACGTGTACGGAGCCACCACTCTGGTTTAATTTGGCAGTAGAGAACTTGTTTTGCGATTCTCCTTTTCTCCTGTCTACTGGAATTGACCGTTTTGAGGGGTTGGCGAAAAAGAAGTGACGACCGAAAATCCTTTGCATCACTCTGACTCCTGGGAACCCGAATCTGGCTAGATTGTTGGGAAAGTGGTATCTTTCCCATCTGTATGTCTATAGCGTACAGGCCTGCCGAACTGAAATAAAAATGGGATAGAAAAGTGAATTCAGGGAGAACGTCCAGACCTTCGTACCAAAGCCAGTGTGAGCAGTGGTCTAGGTCAGCAATCAGCTACCCTTGAACAAATAGAACTCCATTCTTGAGCCAAATGCTGACTGCCTTTTTTTCCTGTTTTTTGGCAGGGAGGCTGGTATTTAAAGTGAAAAACCAAAGTTGCAGGGCTATGGGGTTCTGGTTTATGGCAGCCTTCCAGCCCTTTGAAAAGATGAAGCTCCAAAGAGAGTGAAATGAAAATGAGGAAAAGCCAGTGAAAGGTTTCTGTCTGGTTCTGATGGACTGATTTGTCTTCTCCCTCTTGGACACCTGGCCTCCCATTTGTAGGAGGGCTGCATAGATCATATCAACTATAACTTCTTCTGAGGGCTTTGAGTACCAGGCTGTTCACGTGGTTTTAAAAAAAGTGACACTTAATGTTTCTGTTTTAGCAATGGCTGTATCTTTGCAAGTTCAGGGTCTTAAAACTCAGGATGTTTCATGCAAAGCAAACAATTTAGTATCGAGACTCAACACATTCACGACTAGGTTTTTGCTTTACGAGTATGAATCTCTTTGTTATGTAGGGAACCTGCCCTATCTTAAAACTGCTGTTAGCTGTTAGAACAGTTTTATTTATATATTTTTTTAATGTTTTTTTTTTTTTTTTTTAATGTATGTTTATTCTTGAGACAGAGACAGAACGTGAACAGGGGAGGCACAGAGAGAGAGAGGGAGACACAGAATCCAAAACCGGCTCCAGGCTCTGAGATGTCAGCACAGAGCCCGACGTGGGGCTCGAACTCACGGACCATGAGATCATGACCTGAACCGAAGTCGGACGTTTAGCCGACTGAGCCACCCAGGTGCCCCAAGAACAGTTTTAGAAAAATAGGCTCTTTCCTTTGTAAATTTCCAGTGCAGAATCTTACCACGTCCCCCACGTCTCAGAAAACAGCCGTTCAGGAACACCCTTCTGATTTCAAACAGGTTGTACAAAGGTCTCCCTATTACAGCACCAGAAGTGCATTATGGGCTTGAGCTGGTAGGTATTTCAGCTAAACGAGCACTCCGCCCTGGGGGTGTGTTGTGAGACAGCACTGGAAGAAAGAGATCCAGTCGTGGTGCTTACATTGTCCAAGCCAGCGGCTGTCAACCCTGGGTCCCAGAACATGGATGGATTAGACCCCTCAGACCGCATCCTTGACATTGAGGCTTCATCTTGTATGGGCCCTGGTAACTAAACAAAACAAAAAAATTGGTAGAGCCCCCACAGCAGAGACCTTAGCAGTAGCTACACAACAAAGGCATACATCTTCTCACCTAGCAATTTTTCTAGTTTATTCTGCAGACTGACGCATGGGTGTGAAAGTGTGCAGTGCTAAAGGAAGCTCCCTGTCCATCCGTGGGGTCTGGACAAACATGAAAAATGACACATCGATGTGGCAGACGGGTCCTCCATTTCGCACTATTACATCTGGTGCTGAAAGAGTCTTTGTTGTGGGGCACTGTCCCGGGCATTGCAGGATGTTGAGCACCATCCCTGGAACCTACCCACTGGATGCCAGTAGTAGTTGTGACAACCAAAACACCAAAATGTCTCCAGACGTTGCCAAACGTCGCTGGGGGGCGTTGAAACCCACTATCTTACGTACTGATGTGGAATCATTTCCAGGGTATTCTAAGAAAAGGAAGGTACAGCATAGCACATATATAGTATGCTGCCATTTATGTAAAAAAAAAAAAAAAAAGAAAAAATATATTTTGTTACATAACTGCATGTATATTTATAAACCCTTTCAGGAAAGACACCCAAGAAACTGGCAACACTGGTTGCTCCTGGGGAAAGGGCAACCAAAGGTGGCCAGGGAAAGGGAGATTCCTCAATACACCTGCTTTTATACTCTGAGAATAAACTAGCGTCAGTTTTGAGAACCACTGCGCAAAAGCAACGTTATCTTGTCTGATCATTATTTTCAGCATTGTGGAAACATTGTCCCCGTGAACTCTGCAAACCAACTGATGGTTTCTCAGCAAACCAGGGGAGAAGGTGTAGAACGTGGACCCGTCAGATGTACTTGAGCGCTCTGTTAGCACACGCTGCCTCTCTCAATCTGTCAGCACCCAGCCTGTGCCCTGGGTCCTCTGTGGGTAGAGAGAAAGTGCTATTTGGGCAAAACCCCAACTCAGCAGATGCAGGCTTCTGGCTCTCCGTCTGCCACCACAGCCCCATGAGTCAGCCAGACGTGTAGTCCCCAAACCACCTCTCCACCCACTGCCCTCACCCTGGCACTGGCAGGTCTACTCCCCACCCCCATCCTGCACCCCCTAGGCTCCCCAACCCCATTCCATATCTGCTCTGGGACACTTGTCTTCTTTATAGGGGACTGTGTTTAATGGATTGAAGGCTAAAAGAAAAAAAGGGTGGGGGGGAACAAACGAGAAATGAGAAAGGCTGCAATGTCTCATCCTTAGCAACTTTGTTTGGTTAGCACTGCATAACTCAGCCGATTCCAAGGCACTCGCTACATGCTCTAGGCAGTATCCGTAACAAGGTGCAAAAGAGAACCACCAGCTCTTGCAAAGTTGTGTCCAGTTTCTGGGTGGGAGGACGGTGGTCCTTAGCTTCTGTTGCTTTGCATCTAAGTGGGGCCAGCCCGTCTGGTGACTTTGGAGGCCCGGTTTATCTAATGGATGCATCCTACGTATTATGCTACCACCGCTGACAATTCCATGAATGAGCTAATGAATACCACTTCCCTGCCTCCCACTTAAGTATGACAAACAGGTGAACAAAACCTCTACACACAGAATTTCATACAAAGCAAGTCAAACAGCAATTATAGTGGCATGTGATGTATTTGGCTTAAAGAAGCTTGTGTTACTGAAGTTAATGCAAAAGTCTGGCCTCTGCTCATGGTTATTATTAAATATATATGCTAAGAGATCGGTCATCTATTATAAACGGTGATAGCCCTGGGTATAAATAAACATTTCTTTAGAGTTTGGCATCAGTTTTTCAGTGTGCTTCCTCAAAGGAGACAGTCTGTTTGAGGGATCAGTCTTGAGGGTGCATCTGAACCGAGAGGTGTGCAAGGCAGTGACCCCTGCCAGGTTCCACTGCAGGTGCTGGCGGTGGACAGTTCAGGTCCAAAGGCAGAGGTGGGCTGCGGTCACAGGTGCTGCAGGGCTTCCTGTCCTTGCTCCGTGTAACCGTCATCACGGTGGGAGTTGACCCACTGGCCGAAGGACTCCTGGATGTGCACGTTTCTCTGTGTGTTGGCCAGACGCTTCTTATCTCGGGAGAAGAAGCTAAACCTTTCGAAAGGGAAAGAGAGAAATGAGAGCCCGCCTTCGCTGTGCACGGTAGCGTTTTTGCAATGCCAGGACACACAGCAGCAGACGTGGAAGGAAGCAGATCAATCCAAGGTGTGAAAGGAGAGGTGGGGGTGCGGGTCAAAGTTATGTGAGAAAGCAGCAGGGGATTCTGCATGTCATTGTCACCGCACCTTGGAGGTGACACAGTGTGAACGGGGCGTATGCAACTACTGATGTGTGATGTATCTCATCTCTTACTTAAGCACTGCTGAGGGTCTGTTCTCATTATCAGCGGACATAAAAAACAAAACAAAAAAAAAACCGACTAGAAACACACGTCTGGAGTCTCTTTACCCTAACGATGCAGAGAAAGTAATGACTGAGAGCCACCTAGAATTTAAGATGATTCTGACATAAAGAGACAAATGTTTTTCCTTTAGGTAGTTATGTAACGTGAATCGGGAAACTACAAAAAGAGCACATCAGGGCCCAGATTTCCTGGATATTACTGCTAGAGAGGAGTCGGGAGTAGTTATTTTAGAAGAACAAGACAACCAAAAACAAGTAACGGTGCACACAGTTCTGTGATTAAACGCTGTGAAAACCGTCTGCAAATGAGAAAAACCGTCTGCAAATGAGACTGGGGAAAACGTCGGGGGAAACTGACTTAAGGGCGAAAGCCTTTAGACCTTCGCACAGTGACTTGCTGACTGGCAGTGGCCGATGTAGACCAAGGGGTCTTTTTAAAACAGCTGTGACTGCTGATCACTGATCAGAGTGAACCATCTGATGCCTAAAAGACGAAGGCAGAAATTACAGGCAAAAAGCTTATACACTGGCCCGTTGATTTTTTAAAATTTTATTTCAAGTAGGCTCCACACCCAACATGGGGCTCGCTCTCACGACCCTGAGATTAAGAGTCGCACGCTCCACAGACTGAGCCAGCCAGGCGCCCCGGAACTGGCCCATTTAAAAGGAGGTCTGCCTTACTTCCACCTCCACAAAGACCAGGACCCTCAAGTAAACCTGAGGTGGCCCACCTTGAATTTCTCCCAAAAACCTTGGCTAACTTGCCCTTCGATACTCGTACTTTCTAATGAGATTCATTCTTCTCTCACCAAGTTCTGCTACTCTTCAATTTTGGTTCCTGAACTTGGTGAGAGAGATAATAGCTATGTTATGTTTCCCAGGGGCAGGAATAGGAATGCACCGCTGAGAAACTGAAGCTTCAAATCAACTATTTTTAGTTCCTCTGTCTGTTCACCTATTAGCTCCCCCCTACTCCCACCCCCCCCCCCCCGGCTTGTAAGTGCTGTGGCCTATGGAGTTCAGTTTTAATCACATCTGGGCAAACATGATTTTATTATTCTGTGATTACTGGACCCTACGGTCACCTCCTACCGGGAATAAACTGGTCTTTCACTGTAAAGCTGGGGCAAGCCAAGTGTATCTGGAGAAATTCTCCCTACCAGCTAAAGGCTCTTTTCTCTACAACAGACATGCGTCCTGGCACACAAAGGCACAATTTTCATACCGGGTTATTTGCGAGCTCTCTCCATAGTGTGATCAGGGCAATCAGCTGGCCAAAAATACAGCAACACATCACTGCCACATGTCACCTCTACCTGACTCACGCAGGAAAGCCACATGCCGCTTCCTGTCCAAGGGGACCCAGAGAGACACAAAGCGTTGGTCCCCTCCTCACGGGATCAAATGGCTTTCTGACGATGGCTCGGCGAAACAAAGCGGTTTAGAAAGCTAGGGCGTGAAGGTCGAACACGGCATTAGTGTCACTCGGGGGTTGGGGGGGTGGTGGTCACTGTGGGCGTTGATTACTGACCCGTCACTTAAAGGACCTTCTTTACTGGATCACGGACAAGGTGATTTTTAGAACGGAAACGAGAAAAGACAAAAAGAATTATCGGTGACAGAGCCGAGAATTCCGCAGCTGCCCTCGTGCAGATCGAGACTCACGGGCACAGGTCTGAAATCACATTCCACACACACGCGCGGGTGGGGGCCATGCAGCTGGAGTGGCCAAGGAAGACAGGCCGGCCTTGGCAGAGCCTCAGCACACATTCCAAAGGCACAGCTCAGAACGCAAGCAGAAACACACACAGTGCCTACAAGGGAAACGAGTCGTCGGACAGGTTGCAGGGTGGGGTCATCTATTATCAGTCCCGCTGCTACCATGGGCATTATGGCTGTAAAGATCCTGGTTAGGAAAGTACAGATAGACACAGAGAAGATAAAAACAGAGGAGGCATGAAAAACAAACACATTCCACGCACAGACCGGCTGAAGGGTTTGCTTATAGTAGGCGTTACGGATGGAACTGTGTCCCCCCCCCCCCCAAAAACTCATGGTGAAGTGCTCCCATGACCTCGGAAAGCGACCTTATTTGGAGGAGGCAACAAGAGAAAGTTCTACTAGAGAAGAGTGGATCTTTTTTTTCCTTTTTTTTTTTTTTTAATGTTTATTTTTGAGAGGCGGCACGAGCAGGGGAGGGGCAGAGAGGGAGACGCAGAATCCGAAGCGGCTCCAGGGTCCGAGCTGGCGGCACAGAGCCCAACGCGGGGCTCAGACTCAAGAACCGAGGGATCGTGACCCGAGCCGAAGTCGGACGCTCAACCACCTGAGCCACCCAGGCGCCCCGAGAAGAGCAGATCTTTATAAAAGGGGGAAATCTGGAGACACACACACACACACACACACACACACACACACAGGGGGGCCGTTCCGTGAAGATGAAGGCAGAGATCCAGGTGATGCCTCCACGTGCCAGCAAAGGCCAAAGATCGCCAGCAAACCCCTGAAGCTAGGAGAGGCACAGAACATTCTCTCTCGGTCCTCAGGGGGAACGGGCCCTGGCCACCCCTGGCTCCGGGACTCCCAGCCTCCAGGAGAGTGAGCCAAGACATTTCTGTCGCTGAAGGCTCCCAGTTGGCGGCTCTTTATTAAGGCAGCCCTAGCAAAGTCACGCAGCACCACCGAGGGAAGACAGGGTCGGCCTCGGGGCTGAAAGGCAGGCCCGGGTTTGGGAAAGAAGGAGTCAAAACCCGCTGTAGCTTAGTGGGGACACCCTCGGTGTCTTCCAGCAAATCTCCCCCACTACCATGCACCGCAGGCCCGGTGCCCCGAAGAAGGCAGCCGGCGCGAGGGGGGGGGGGGGGTGTCCAGGAGAGAAGACGAGTGGGCGGAGCAAGAGGACCGAGGCAGAGCACGTGCACGGGCCACCCCCGCTGCTAAGTCAGAGCTGACACCGAGTTCTTGTCCGTCCCTGGTCTTGGCAAGGAAAACGAAGAAGAAACGACACTCAAGTCAGAATCAGAGCTTATTCTGAACAATTTTGATTTTTTTTTTTTAGATGCGGGCGGGGAAAAGATAGAATGTGAGTGTCTAGTGAGGTTTGGGATTATCTGTGTTTGGATTCACCTCTGATACACTTCAAAAGGCAGCTGGGAGTTGGCATCCTGGCAGAACCACGTGGATGTCTTCTCACGGCGATGAGAAAAGGGGGCACCTTTTGTCATCTGAACGTGCCCAATCCCCAGAGGCTGGGCTGTCCGGCACTGTTGGCTTTCCAGGGGCTCGACCTCTGCCAGGACCCCTCTTGGCATAACAGGGAGCCCCCAAAGACACAGTCACTGTGGAGGATGGCCCCAGATGCAGGGTGAGATGTATGCCCGCCTGGAAATGCTGGGCTTCATTTGGGGTCCCATCAGGGGTCAGACTGGTGCACAGGGGACTCGGGACACCTGGAAGGTTCCAGTAAAGTAACTATATGCTTCACTGAATGGACAGCCCCCTTCCTTCCCAGAAGCCTCCCTGTCCTCTGGAGGGACAGCCACTTCCTGGGAAAAGACTGGCTTGGGCATCTGGGTGGCTCAGTAAGTTAAGTGTCTGACTTACGCTCAGGTCATGATCTCATGGTTCGTGGGTTCGAGCCCCGCGTCGGGCTCTGTGCTGACCGCCTGGAGCCTGGAGCCTGCTTCGGATTCTGTGTCTCCCGCTCTCTCTGCCCCTCCCCTGCTTGTGCTCTGTCTCTCTCTCTCTCTCTCAAAAATAAATAAGCATTAAAAAAAAAAAGACTGGCTTTTTTTGGTCAAAAGTTTATGTCTGAATATGGTGTGGCTGGCTTTACCTTCTCCCCCCCCCACTGATTATTTCTGGAAGATGCAAACCAAATGCAGTTCTAACAGTGGCATTTCAGGCAGTGCAATGGGCGGCTGTGAGGAAGCTATTTCTGGGCTGAAGCAAGGAGGCTGGTGGGTAGGAGGACAGGGACCAGTGTCTGATACTTGGGTGGCTGCCTCCTCTGAGGCCAACCTCTCGGGCGCATAGGAACCGTTGCCTGCGCCCTGCCTCCCTGGCCGGAGCCTCCGCCCCTGCTCAGCAGACAGCTGGGTGCTGTGTGTACCTCTGTAACGGAGAGACAGAGGCCACACAAAGGGGGCGCTGGTGCCTGGTGGCCGCTGGGGACAAGACTGGAGTCACTCAGAGCTCCCTCGTGACCTTCCCAGGCAGTGCCAACCTGGACTCTCCGGCCGGCAGCTGCTCAGTCACAAGCTTTTCTTGGACCGTCTTCTGGGCACAGTTTTAACTGGTGACAGGAGTTTCTGGTTCCCTTCGCCGGTTCAGCCCAGAAACGTAGACGCTGACGTCCCTGGCTTGTGGTGCACTTGGGACAGAAGGGACTGGGCAGTCGGCCCACAGCTGGTGACTCAGGAATGGGGCAAGGAAACGGGCGGTGGGAGGTACACAGAAGGCACGGTTCAAACCCCACCTCTGACCCTTCCCAATGGTACGAACTAAATGAAGTCAGTGGGCTTCTCTGGGCCCAATACTCATCTGAGAAGTGGGGCTAAGTCTCCCAGCTCTGAGTCTCTGACCAGGGGGAAGATACCTCAGTGTAGGTGCTCTAAGCTGATGGAGCCCCTCCAGACCTCCAGGGTAGGTACTGCTCACACACTGGTGGGTGGAAAAAAACGGTCAAGGGCATGAGGTTGAGCTAGGAAGCAGCCAGGTCCTGTACTAAAGAGGCTGTGTGATTCGTATTCCACAAAAGCAAGGACCGAGGGACAAGTGGACCCCGATGGGTGCCAGAGGTGTGAGGGATGGGAAGGGAGGCGGGCATGAAACCATGTTAAGAGCCCCATTCCCTGCCCCAGCCCCAGGAAAGATTCGTCCCGGCCCCTGGCTCTGGGCTCACAGGCCACACTGACAGTTCTCAGTCAGCAGCCGAGGTGGACAAAGGCGACCAGTGTCCTGCCTGGGCTGGTCAAAAGCCTTTTGTGCCAGTCTGATCTTCTAGTCATCCCCTAGAAGGCCGGGGTGGCCATGGGACTGGCCACCTGCACCCTGTGGACGGGGGGGATTCTGATTTCTCTCTCCCCCTCTGTGTGTTTCTCGCTCTCTGGCTCCCCAATTCCAGCGGCTTCTCTTCCCAGTCTCGGAGCCCCAGGTTTTGCTGAGCAGACAGAGGCCACAGTGAAGGGGAGAAGGGCCCAGAGTCCTTGGTAGAACAGTCTGGAAAAAAGGATTAGACACCACAGCCTATTCAGGTGTGGGTAGAGGGACCAGTGGGAAGAAGACTGTTGGCTAATTCTGATAACTCGTCTCTGCATTTTATCCAGTTTGGGATTTGCAAAAGCCCCTCATAATTGTCTGCTTGCGAGTAAAGGGGGGCTGGAGCAGAAAACTCTAAAACCGAGGACAGCCCCGCTTGGAGGGCAGGCTTACAGCTGCGTACATCCTAGGGTTACGGCGCTAGAGGCGTTAAAAGATTTGTTTTTAGTTTATTTTGAGAGAGAGACAGAGAGAGTGAGTGGGGGAGGGGCAGAGAGAGGGGGGGGGGAGAGAGAATCCCAAGCAGGCTCCGCACCGTCAGCACGGGCTCGAACTCACGAACCGTGAGATCGTGACCTGAGCTGAAACCAAGAGTCAGACGCGTAACCAACTGAGCCACCCAGGCGCCCCTAAGAGGGTCTGATTTTTAAAGACCTGGCAATGAATCGCTGAAGGAAGCATAGGCCTGGTCTCTCGGTCCTGCCCCTCCTCAGCCCAGGGGCGGATTATGTGGGCTCATGAACTTTGTCTCAGCTTCCCCAGGTCTTAACCCGAAGTTGTAGCTACTGAAGCACAAGGTCAATGATGCTCATTGCTACACGTGTGTGTGGGGCTGGCAGATGGCTCAGAGTTCAACAAAAGTCAATCCCATCCCTTAGCGCTGGATGAGAAACGCTAACCAAGGGTGAGAGTCTCCCTGGGTACTGAGTACATCATAAGACTTCAGACTGGAGGACCCTCACCCCCATGATAAGGCCACAACGGACACCCAATCCTTCTGTCCGCCCAGCCCTGTGAGCCCCCTGGGACCCGTCCTCCCCCCTACTTCCAGTCCATCTGAACCAGACCAAGTTTGAGCCATCCCAGCCTCAGGCCTGTGGAGGAGACCCAACCCGGCTGATGGATATACTGTCCTGTGATTGGCTTAGAGGCCATGTGAGCCGGTCTGAGCCAATGAGACTTGATTCCGTGACTCCTGTGGAAGATTCTCTTCCCACTGGAGTCTCAGACAGAAGAAAGCAGAAGGCTGAGCTGATGTCTGCCATGTTGCCACCCTGAGGGACAGTGTGTTCAGGAAAACAGCCAGAGGTGGAGGGAATGAGGCAAAGCCCTGATGACAAGGCCTGGATCCAGCTGAGCCTGAAGCCAGTCTGACCTGGGAATTTTTGGTCCCTTCGCTCCCAGTCTTTCTTCAGTTACTTTGAGTTGAGTTTCAATTGCCAATGTTATTACTAATTAATACATGGCCAAACAGTGCTGGGACTCAGAGGATGCCTTTCTGGTTACAAGTTCCACCCTTCAGTAAGTATTTACGGCTAACCAGAACTGGGGACTGCACACAGGGATTGAGGGCCAAGCAAATAAGCAACGTGAGGCTGGCGAGAGGGGCTTGGGAAGGAGCCACGCGTTCACGCACATGCTCCAGAGGGCGGCCGGCCTTTTCCAAGAGCAGTCACAAGGCTGCACGTGTCCTGGTTTCCCCTCCCGGCCACCAATGCTGAGCGTTCAGTCGCTTCACAGGGTGAGGGCTAGCCGAGGATTTCCTAACGTAACTGGCTTTGTAAAGGGTGAGGTCCCTGAGTGACACCCCAGTGCCCCTCCCCACACACTCCCAGTGGCTCTTCCGACTCTTGCCACCTCCTTTCACAAAGCTTCTGCCAGAGTTTGGGAGAAAGAGAGGAAGAGGGTAGAGCCAGAAGGCCCGGAGGGAGGAAGACCCTCTCGGGAGAGACATCAAGGCTACAAGACAACAGCGTGAGCACGCGCACCCTGCAAATAGTTCGAAACGTGGGCTCTGGGGCCAGGCTGCCCAGGTTTGAACCCTGGCTCTGCGTCTTAACAACTGAACGTCCTTAGGCAGCTGCCTTAGCTTCTTTAACTGTAAAACGGGAATGACAGTGTCTCTACCTCCCAGGGGTACGGTGGGGACTGGATGAGATCATCTATCTGCAGGAAAAGAACCTGGCACATAGTAGGCCCTTAGCAGACATTAGCCAACGAGACCAGAAGTTTTAACCCTCTACCTAAAGGGCTGCAGGTGTCAATGAACCTGAAACTGTATGTGTGGTTTTCCTCTGCCCTCAGGGAAAGGGTCTGCAAACTCTCGGAATCTCAAAGGAGTCTTTTGATGTAAAGAAACACTGAAGTAGTTTAAAGTCTGGTTGAGGGGCAAGGCTGAGTTTCTTTCTTGTGTGCTCCCCACAGCAAACAGGGCCTGACTGCCTGCATGTATTACGCAGCAGTGAATACTTAATGGAGAGACGGGGGTGGTGTGGGAGTCAGCACGGGAATGCACTGATCGAGCGGACCAGGGCCCAACCCTTCAGATGCTCGAATCTCTCCCACCAGTCTTATTTGCTGCCCAGTGACAGGCCCCCGCCGAAGCCCCGAGCCTTGGCTACAGGCCCCGCCCCCTTTCCACCCTCTCAGCCTTACCCAAACCTCTCTGCCCAGGGAGCCCCTGAAGGAACTCAGCATTCAGATACAGAGATGAACTCAGAGTCAAGGGACAGGCCCGGTGTGCTCCGAGGTTAGGCCTGTCTCAGCAGGAGATGGTTAGTGACAAGCCTGGCCCTGGAGCAGGTGCCCAGAAGTGAGAGGCTGTGTGAACCACCAGGTCAGCCGTGAGCGAGCAGCCCCACACTCAGGAAGCACATCACTTACAGTCGCTTGATCCCAGACTCCGGCTGGGGGGACATTCTCGGGTGGGCGACCGGTGGAGGTTGGGGTATTCGATTTTCCTCTTCTATTTCTTCACTGGAAGGAGTTGAGAGGTGTGAGATAAGACAGTCAAAAATTCTGTAAGAGCTGGAATATTCTAGAAGGGTATTGTCTGATGGTCTGGGAGGGCTTGTACTAGGAAGAGGGGGACCTAGGAAGATGGCCATAGTGGCCTGTGCCCCAACAGTCTCTTTGCCTGGGGGGCGTGGCCAGTGAAGAGAGAGGTCAGCCCTGGAGGCAATGCCTATGGTCTCTTTGGCCCAGCTGGTCAAATGTGAAGAATTTCAGGAAACGAACCCACATCTCAGAAACGCAATCTTCAGTTTCCTCTGAAGAATCTTGCCACACAGAACCTGTCCTTGCCAAATGCTATCTTCATACCTTTGTGGCTTCTTCCATCTCAACATCTCCCACACCTGACTAGTACCCTATCCTTTAGGGAAGGGCCCAGTTCAAATGCCACCTCTGCCATGAAGTCTTCCTGGTTCCTACCCCATCCCTGAGAAGTAAACTCTCCCTTTGAACAGCCAGTGCACACAGCTTCAGTAAAACTTTCTTATGTGCCAGGCTTACAGTGGGTTTTCAATAAAAATACATGGCACTGTGTCTTCTGTGCCTCTCGTTTTCCCTACTGGAGCAGGGACCACATCTGGTGCATCTGTCCTTCCTTCTGGCTCTCCACTCAAGAAGTATTTGTTGCATACCGACTCTGTGCTAAGCTCTATCCTAAGTCTTGGGAACTTAGCCATGAACAAGACGAATGTGGTTTCTGGTCTCACGTTGTTACAGTCTGGTATGGAAACATACAATAAAACAAGCACATTAACGAACAGGATTTCAAAAAGACGGTGAAGGACTGTGAACTGAGTAAAGGGACAGTGACTGGGACAGGGCACTCCTTTGAAAGGGAGATAATGTGGAAGGAAGGCCTCTCTGAGGAGGTGACCTCTGACCTGAATCCTGAGTGACCAGCAGTCAACCATGGGAAGAGTCAAAGAGAATGTTTTCCCAGCTACAGGACCAGCATGTGCAAAGGTCCTGAGGTAGAAACAAATGTAGTACGTTTTGAGAAACCAATAGAGGGGTAGTGTGTATAAAGCTGAACCAGTATGTACAATCGAGGAACTGGATTTTAAATGTTATTTTAGTTTAACTCATTTAAACTTAAATAGCCACTCAGCTAGTGGCTTTCGTAGGAGACAGTGCCGCCCTAATATATGCAAGGAGGTCACTGGCCAAAAACCGAACGAACAAATACTTAGGCTGCACAGCTCTGCCATCTCTTATCTGCAAAATTCTAACATCCAAAAAGCTCTAAAAACAAAAATTCATTTTTTGGTCACTCATTTGGTGGCAACACCTGCAAAACTCTCATGAGGCCGATGACAGTGTTTATCCCATGTCGTATGAATATTCACATCTTGGCCACAAAAATATTAGCGTGTTTGATTTGGGGGGGGGGCTGCCGCAGGGCTCGCTGGTGGTGTGCGTGATGTATTCCTTTCTAACAGCTGGGAAGTGCTGAATCAGAAAACGCACCTGGGCCCAAGAGTCTCAGAAAGGGATCGTGAACTTGTGCGTTAGGTGCTTCCAGACAGGGTCCCCGGAACGGAGACAGATGCAGTTCTTGTCCTTCCCAGACTCCGCACAACCCCAGCAAGGAGCCAGCCCTGGAGCTCCCGGGGACGCTCACCTCTTATAGTACGCCAGCTCCTCCTGCAACAAAAACACCTTGGACTTGAGTTCGTTCCTCTCGTGCAGCACGTCCCGCAGCTCCTGCAGGGTGAAGCGGGGGCGGTTGGGGTCCTTGAGATCCAGGGCCATCTTCTCCGCCTCTGAGACACACTCCTCTCCGCCCGGCTCCGTCTGGAGGAGGCAGAGATGCTGCTAATGAATTCCTGGCGGCCACCAGCACCAGCACCCACCCCGCATCCTGCCGGAGCCCGAATCTCCCACCCTCCCGGGGCCTCGCAGCTTGCCAAGGGCGCTATTTTAAGAACTCGCAGGCGGCCTCTGCTCACGTTCTGTGCAGTCAGCATCGCGTTGGAGACGAAAGCCAGCGGCCACCTGTTCATTGTTCTCCTTCTCAGCAGCCAGCCCTGCCGTCCTGGTGCCTCCCCACCTGACTCAGGGGTTTATTACCAACACCACTAAAAGGTGTCCAAGGGGAAGAAACAGCACACCCCAAATGCTGCCGCCCCCATAGATCTGCTTTCCTTGTCCCATATTCTCTCCTCGTATTCTTACTAAGACCGTTGCTAAGAAGACCTTTGCTAATTTGGCCAAAGTTGTTAAAATCAGAGCTTATGCCCAGTTTTCTCTTCCCTTTTCATTTAACATTGAGTCGTACAGGTTTTCCCATTTGTTCCTGGACTTCTGGTCAAGCCCCGTCATCTCCAGTGGCTGAGGGATCGGAGGGAGCCCGGGGGAAGAGGCAGGTGACATCACAGCAGGTGTGCACGGGCGGGGCATTTCTCTTTCCACGCAGGTCCCTCAGATGGACCGGAGCGTGCTAAGTCACTGCTTCAGGCCAGACCCTAACCTCATCCTCCCTCCCATTCTCACAGCAAGAAGGTTTTTAAAACAAAACAAAACAAAACACAACACAACTGGTAAGAGACACTTACTATAAAACCGACCATTAAAAATACACTTCGGTGGCACTTAGTACATTCACGGTGTTGTGCAGTCAGCAGCTCTGTCTAGTTCCACAACATGTTCTTCACCCCAAAGGAAACTCCATACCCACTAGCCGTCACTTCCCAGCCCTCCTCCCCCCAGACCCTGGCGACCACTGTCTGCTTTCTGTGTCCGTGGATTTGCCCTTTCTGGACATTTCGAATAAATGGAATCAAACAGTATGTTTCCTTTTGTGTCTGGCTTCTTTCAGGTAGCGTCGTGTTTTCCAGGGTCATCCATGCTGTAGCAGGTCAGTGCTTCGTGCCTTTTCATGGCTGAATACTATTCCGCGTATGGATATGCCACGTTTTGTTTATCCTATTACCCACTGAAGGGCATTTCGGTTGTTTCTACCTTTAGGCTATTGTGAACAGTGCTGCCACAAACATCTGTGTACGAGGATTTGTCTGAACCCGTTTTCAATTCCTCCGGGGGGATACCTAGGGGAGGAGCTGCTGGGTCACACGGTCTCTCTCTGTTTAACTGTTTCCTACAGCAGCTGCCCCACTTTACGTTCCGTCAGCAGCGTAGGAGCGTTCCACAGTCTCCACATCCTCTCTAACAAGTGTTTTTCTCCTTTTTTTTTTGATAGCAAGGAAGGTTTTGCAAACTGCCTCCGAGTCAGCTGGCCAAATCTGCGGGGGTTTCTGACACCCTTGAACCGCCAATATCCCATCATCAACTAGAAGGAGTGGACAAAAGTTCAGGACCACAGCAGGGAAGCTCTGGAACAGGGGCAAGTGGGGTTGAAACAGACACACCACCCCCCTGCCCCAAATAAATCCCACAGAGGCATAGGAGGAAATGCATGCCGACCCAGACGATGACAGAAGGCCAGCAGGTTGAAGGACCCCAGGAGGCAGAGCTGAGATGCCTCCATCCTGGGACAGTCAGCACAGGCTGTTCTGGGAAAGGACACGTGAAAGGAGACACCACTCGGCAGGGCAGATCAAGTGACAGAGAGTCACCCAGCAGGCACAGGTCGGGGAAGCGGGTCTGACCAGGAGTCAGCGCGGAGCAGGGGAGGCACCTGGCTCCAGCAGAAGATGGAAATATGCCGTCCCCAAGCCCTCTGGGCAATGGAGCGGGGCCTCTTCCCACCCAACAAGTATGGACGACTTCACGTCCCAAGAAGGTTCTCTAGGTATCTGCTGATGCCACACCTTCAGGTGGGCTGTGTCCCCAGGGGACGTCTTCAGCGTCTGCCTCCTACAAAGCCACACAGTTGGACAGTGTCCTCCACCCAAGGCCGTGCATGGCAAGTGCCTTGTATGCAGTAGGCACTCACTAATGCCGATCCCCTTCTCCTGCTCAGGTTAACCACGGAGCATCTTTGGACGTCTGTAATAAACATTGAGTGAATAATTGGGATCTCGATAAATACTGGATGTCTCGATAAACATTCCAGCATTTATTGAGCATCAGCTGTGTGCCTGCTGGGCACTGAGCTAGTGAGATGAGTCAGCTGGGGTTGGAGGGAAGATACACATAGACAGAAACTTGCAAAGTCCTGTAATAAGAGGTGCAAGGACATCAAACTCTAACTGGGAAGGATCATGGAAGACATTACTGCAGAGGTAGTCTCTGTGCATGGGGTCTTGACGAATGTGTAGGAGTTTACCAGGAAGTCTGGGTGTCCCCCCAGTGCCGCCCCCCCCCAACATTTTGTGTGGCCTTCACTGTGTTCTAAAACTCTTTGGAATTAGTTCCCAACAGTTTTTTTTTTGTTTGTTTTTTATTTTTAAAAATTTTTTAATGTTTATTTTTGAGAGAGAGAGAGAGAGAGAGCATGCGAGTGTGAGTGGGGGAGGGGCAAGAGAGAGGGAGACACAGAATTGGAAGCAGGCTCTAGGCTCTGAGCTGTCAGCACAGAGCCTGATGCAGGGCTCGAACTCACGGACCGTGAGATCATGACTCACGAACCGTGAGATCATGACCTGAGCCGAAGCTGGATGCTCAACCGACTGAGCCACCCAGGCGCCCCTCCCAACCGTTTTATATCAGGAGATTTCACACTATTTGGGTCTTGAGCTTCGTTTTGGAAGAAATATTGGAAGACTGGGTTACACTGGGTCCACACGGCAACACTGGGCTGGTGCTGCATAGCAGCTATTGCCTTTTATGTGTTCTTTCCGTGTCTGCTCCCGCCCCCCCCCCCCCCCCCCCCGTTCCTCTGTGCCTGGACCCCATAGGCACGGGCAGCCCCTGCCGTGGACCCAAATTTCAGGCTCACACACTCCCTCCAGCCTCTCCCTTCCCAGATAACTCAGGCCCTGCCATTCACTGGGGCAAGTCTGTGCCTCTCTGTGTCTCTGAGAGGGGCCGTCTGGCAGGGATCCACACCTCCTGGGGAAGGTGAAAAGCCCTTCACGAGGGTTCCCAAATCCGCACTTCCCAAGAGGCCTTTGGGCAAGCTGCCTGATCCCCTCTGGACCTTCATTTCCCCATCTAGCCCTTGATAATCCAGTAATATGTCTAAGCTCTGTTTCCGCCCAGGCACTGGAGACCGGAGATTCCCCAGAACACATGCTCTCCGGACCCAGCAGGTTCCACCCACCCCCGTGGGCTGTAAGCACCCAAGAAACGGAAAGGCTTCCTCAGACCTGAGTTCTTTTTCTCTGGGGAAGGGATGTTTCTTTAATCAGAGCAGCAACCTCATGCCCTGGAGCTCAGGGGATTCCCAGACAGGTTTGCAAAAAAGTCCCGACTTCTGGGACCGCTGCCTGAAGTGCAGAAGAGGGAGCGTGGGGCTCCAGCTCTTCCGGAGGCCCTGCAGGTGCCAATGTAGCGCCTCGAGCAGCCCAGGACTGGCCTGTCCTGAGAGAGACCGCGAAGGCTCTTCCCACCGTGGAAATCAGGCCCATCGCCGATGGGTCTTCTAAGTTTACTCCACGAGGGACCACAGAGGTGGCTGGGGTTATCGAGGATTGTCCACTAGTCCCCGGAGGCACTCTGGGCACAGCTTGAAGGAGATGCCCTCAGGCCCCAGCTGTCCCCAGGGAGGCCCCAGAAGCCAGCTGACAAGCAGTGGGGCCAGACTGGCTTAAAGAAGGCCACATCCTCCACCAGGGCCCTGCGTCCTGAGGCCCAGCCCCCTGGCCCCTGGCCCCCGACCTGGGCACATCAAGGCCACTATGCTCCCTCAGCTCCTGGCCCAGCGACGGGGGGTGACTCTGCCCTGGTCACCTTCAGTAACTCCAGGCCCACCATGCATGCATTCAGCCAGAAAACCCAGCTTCACACACCAGCCATCAGGCCCCTGGTCTGCTTTCCCTGAGCACTTAAATAAACAAACATTTATTAAGATGACAGAATTTGTAAGGCAGAGACATCAAGTAGGTAACTACTAGCTTCACAGTTTTGTTATGATTTTAGATGAAATCCTTTAGATAGGGAGCCCACCAAATCATTTTCTAGAGGGTTCTATGTCTACCTATCAAAGGTAGAAAAGCCTCCAGTGAAAACATGAGAAACCGGACAAGCTAGAAAACATGCTGAGTGAGGGAGCCAGTCAGGACCACGTGTTACGTGATTCCACGTCCCTGAAATGTCCGCACACAGGCAGATCCAGAGACAGAAAACAGATTCACTGTGGCCAGGGGCTGGGGGAGGCAGAGATGGGGAGTGGCTACTAATGGGTACGGGGTTTCTTTGGGGAGTGATGGAAATGTTCTAGATCGTGGAGATGGTCGTACAATAGAGTGAACATACTAAAACCTGTTGAACTGTATACTTTAAGTGGCTGAATTGTATGTGAATGTCTCAATAACTATGTTATAAAAACATATAAGGAGGCTTATTTACCGGTGGTCACAGTGAAAGACTGATGTAGCTCAGAAAGGATCGCATGAATCGAGGGGGAGAACCGGAGTAACCAAGGCATTGATGAGAACTGATTCCTCCCCACCTCTGGATCCCTCTGTAGCTCCCATCTCCTCTCACCGATCCTATGCCAGGACCAGCCCACCACCCCAGCTGCGCCTGTTCCTTCTCCAGTCTGGCTCGTGTTCTTTCTCCTGCCTGGAGTGCCCTGCCCCACGTTCCTCCCTAGGCATCATCCTAGCTATCCCATAAGACTTGTCTCAATGACTTGAAAACCTGCACTGTGCTCGCTTCTCCACTGAGGATCCACCGTGCCCTCCTCCGGCCCCACGGCCCTCTATCCCTGCCACGCTAGCTAGCTGGTCTACTGAACCACCTCAAGCTCATTCCCCTCATTTTTCAGATAGGAAACTGAGCCCCAAAGAGATGGATGGGCCCCAGATCCCGCGGCAGCAGGTGGAAAGCCACCACAACCCGCAGCTTCCCTGTGTGAGTGACAAGTATCTTGAACCCTACTCAGCTCCGAGGGAGGGAGTCAAACTCAGCAAGGACGCCCCAAGTTTGGGAACAGACTCCGCAAAGCAGCCCAGCGGCTTAGTCATAACTGCCACCTGATTTTACTCCACTTCCGTCCCACCCGCTTGGTGCCAGCAGGGGAAACTGACACGGACAGGCAGTTGGGCCAAGGAGACGTGGCATGTCCCTGTCCTGTCGCTAAATAGATGCGGAGCAGGGCTCGGCGTCTCGTGGCTGGGGTGGTGTCCCCGGGACCTGGGTTTGCGGCAAGCCCCGCCTTCCCAGGAGGAGCCGGGCCTGACTTCTCATGGGGCACAGGGGGCTGCAAGAGGGACACCAGGGGAGGAGGGGGGGTGACTGCCCTCAGCCGCGCCTAGTGGTTATTTCTGGCATCTGTCTCCTCCTCACCCATCCCACTGCCATAGATTGGGCACAGACCTCGCCTTTCTTGTCTGGACTACTGCAAAGGGCTCCCAACGGCTCCTTCCCCTCCCAAGAGCCCTCCATAGACTCCGAGCTGATCCCACTCCTCCCCTGCTGAACCCTGTGGGGGGCGCCACAGTCCCCACTGCTCAGAGTCTTGTGTGTGGCCTTCTGGGCTCCGACTTCCCGGTGCTGTAGACGACGGCTGCCGTCTCTGTCTGCCCTGCCACCGTTTCCATACTTGTCTGGGCTGGGTCCTTGCCGCTGTCCTCTGGAGAAACTCCCCCTGCCCACCTCCGGCGCGTGCGGCATGGATGGGCACCGCGTGGCGTAGCCATGTGACTCAGGAACAGACACCCCATGCATATTCCGGACCTCAGGGCACAATGACTGGTTCAGCGATGGGCCGAGGAGAGGGTTTCCTGAGACTGGCTGGGAATTTGGGAAAGAGGCAATTTCTTTTCACTGGGGTTGGTATACTGGTAGAGTACCAGGGGCCACTATATGGCAAGAGCCGACTTGAGAATGACACCGACACAGAGGAAAGCAAAGCTGAGAGATCTGATAGCATCATTTGGGCCCCTGGAACCAGCTATACCTGAAGCCATCATTAACTCAAAGCTTTTACTATACAACCCAAAATTCCTCTTTTTGTTTTTTTATTCCTTAAATCACTTTAATTTAGGCTTCTGTCACTTCTAGCCAAAAAGCAAGCCCTAACCTCTCCCTTTTAAGGCCTCTTTCCCTAACCTCCCTAACTGTATCCCAGGTACCTGTGCTTCGGAGAATCTAGAACTGTCTGGCCTGAACTCACGAGATATCTAACGACCGTGCTGGCATTTGAGCCAACCTGATTGTGGGCTCCTCTGTCTTCCCTCCCCTACCTGTAACCCAGGAAACTAGCACAGTGTCTGCAAACCTGAAACAGTCAGTAAATATTTGCTGGAAGAAAGAGTAAGCCCCGAGCCCTTCCCGAACAGTCCACTGTTTTTCTGAAGCAGCACGTCCACCTTCCACAACTACCTATCAAAATCTTAGCACTGTCAACACTGACATCCAGCTGAAGGGACACCTCCTCCATGAAACTGTGCGCCAACCCCGTCAGGATTAACTGCCCCATCTCTGTGTTCCTGGTACACCCCCCGGGGGCACCTCTCTGGGGCAGACCCCTCTGGTGCCCCGTGTCCAGATTTTAGGTGTAGCTGTGGTGTACTTCCAGCCGTGGAAAAAGCCCCCCTGCCCCCCCAACCCCAGGCACACATCGCACATCTTTCCATTTCTGCCCTGAGATCTGCTCTGTAAGTCCTGCCCGGGATTGTCGGGGACATAACACCCCCAGAGGCCACCAGCTCACTGGGGGCGGGTGCATGTGGATGAACGTTCCAAGCCTTTCTCCTCCAGAAAGACACTTCTGTGTTTCTCAGAGGTCCCAGCAGGACTGAGCTCCCACTGCAGTAACACCCCCGAATCCACTTTTCCTTCTTCCCCGTCTCATGCCCCTGATCTCTGGGGTCACCTCCCAGGTAAACCTCCTGCCCATCTTCCTTTTCTCAAGCTCTGCCTCAAGGGAACCCAGAAGACAATCTCTTACCACGAAGATAATCCCCTCCCACCTTAAGTGGCTGCGGGTGTCCAAGTCTGTCTCCTGCACTGGACGGTAAGCTCTTTGAACCTCCACAGTACTCAGCACAGTGCTTCCAGGTAGAAGACCAAACCCCACCCTGTGGCCTCCCTGGCCTGCAGCACCAGCCCGTGCCCATCTCTCTGACCTCACTCAGACCTTCTGCCTCCCCCTCACACTGCATACCAGCCACCCTTGTCTTCTTAGGCTCCCCCGATTGCACTGCAATTTCTCCTGCCACAGGGCCTTTGCGTGTGCCACTCCCCTGCCTGGAACTCACTCCCCCTTCACTGTTTACTCTCTCCTTCTTTTGATAATGTCTTTTTAGAAAATGCTTACTTATTTTGAGAGAGAAAGAGAGAACAAGTGGGGGAGGGGGAGAGAGAGAGGGAGAAAGAGAATCCCAAGCAGGCTCCGAGATGTCAGCACAGAGGCCAACTCGGGGCTCAATCTCACAAACTGTGAGATCATGACCTGAGCCGAAATCAAGAGTCGAACGCTTAACTGACTGAGCCACCCAGGCGTCCCTTGATCACCTCTTCAGAAAAAGCCTTTTTGACTCCTCCAGACGATCACGGTAATCAATAACAACAGCCAACACTGTAAGTGAACTAACTCACTTAATTGTCACGATGACCTGGGGCTAGACTGTTATTGTTCCCATTTTAGACATGAGGAAACTGAGGCACGGAAAGTCTAAGTAATTTATCCAAGGTCAGGGAGGTAGTAACAGGCTAGATTCGGAGCGAGTCGGACCAGCTCTAGAGTCCGTGTAGTTAGCCAGCTACACGCTATAGCTCCCGGCTCAGGCTCCTCCCAGCTCCCCTAAGTGTAATGGGAAAAACCAGGCAGCCTTGCCCACCTCCAGCCGGCTCACAGACCTACCTTCCCACTTGGCTTCGGTGGCTGGCTTCCCGCTTACCTCGGGCTCCTCCTCTCCATTCTGGCTGAGTTCACCCTGCAGCCTCTCTCGCAGCTTCCCAAGCTCTGCCCGCAGGCTGCCCATCTCCTGTTCCTTGGTTTGCAGATCTGCCTCTAGTTCCACCTTCTGTTCGATCAGGGCCTTCCCCTGGGCCTCCACCACTGTGACGCGGTGCCGGAGGTCGTGGTTGATCTTCATCAGCCGCGTCTGCTGCTGCTGCAGCTGGAGAAAGAGGAAGGCCGTTTATGGGGCCGCCACATGCAGTAGCTCGTGTGGTGCACTGCACGAGGGCAAATCGCCTACAGGCGTGCCATTCGCACCGGAGACATCTTGCTTTGTTTGAAGTCTGCTCTTATTCTTAGAACTGCTGAGGCCAGAAACGCTAGGATAATCTGATGACAGTTGGAAGAGAAGTGTTTCGTCAGTGTATTACGACGACTTCCGAACGGGCAGAAGTAGCATGCCTTGAGAATGGGGCATCTTTTTCTAATTCCGGCGCAGACGCCGTCCGGGTTTCTAGAGCAGCCTGGACCGTGCTGGCCTGCTCCCGGAGGGGCACGACGAGGCGGGGCTGACGGAAGCGTCGGGGTCAGAACAAAGCCTGACTGGGCCTCGGCACCTCCCCGGGGCGTGGGAGTAGCAAGGTCACGGGGCAGGCAGCGCCATGTTCCCTCCTGGGGCAGCGCACACTCGGCCGAGGGTCGGCCCCGCGGCCGCCGCTTCCGGACCCCGCCGCCCAGAGCCCACGGAAGGACAGAAGGGGGCAAGGGGACCGCTGGCCCGGAGGGCGGGCACGGGGCGGGGGCTGCCACTCACGGCCTCCACGTCTTCGTTCTTCAGACCCAGCTCCCTGTCCCTGGCGCGAATCTCGTCCCGCTGCTTGTCCACCACCTCCTTCAGCTTCTTCATCACCTGCCGCTCGCGCTCCGACATGCCTGCGGCGGGGTGGGCGAGGGCAGCGGGTGAGCCCCGCGTCCCCCGTCCCCTCCGAGCTCATCCCGCCTCAGGGCCCCGGCCGCTGCTTCGGGCTAGCCTCTCTGTGCCTCAGTTTCCACATCCACAAAATGGGAAACATAGTACCTACCCCACACGGCCACTGTGAGGACTGATTCAGCGAATACACAGGAAGCGTGGGAGACAAAGCCAAGGGGTGCTGTCTGTTTCTGCCGGCCCCGGCCCCCGGCCCCCCGAAGTATACAGTCGGCTCCGGGAGGCAGGGCCTTGCCTGTCCCGTTCACTGCGTATTCCCTCGGCTAGCACGGTGCCCGGCACACAGCAGGTGCTCGCTAAGTGATCTAGGGCGTTCATAAACCGTGGGGACGGGTGGCCGCTGCAACACGAGTGACAAAATCGGACAGCCTGAAGCATCAGAAATTTATTTTCTCATAGTTCTAGAAGGCAGAAGTTTAAAATCAGTCCAAAGTCAAGATGTCGCCAGGGCTGTGCTCCCTCCGGAGGCTCTAGGGGAGGATGAGTCCCTTCCCTCTTCTAGCTTCTGGTGGCTCCCAGTGTCCCTGGGCTTGTGGCCACATCACTCTGGTTTCTGCCTCCGTGGTCACAGGGCCTCCTCCTCTTCGGTCTGTGTCAGACCTCTCTCTGCCCCGCTCTTATAATAAGGACACTTTGATCGCATTTAGGGCCCACCTGAATAATTCAGGATAACCTCCCCTCTCAAGATCTTTTTTTTTTTTAATTTTTTTTAATGTTTAGTTATTTTTGAGAGAGAGAGAGAGACAGAGCATGAACAGGGGAGGAGCAGAGAGAGACACAGAATCCGAAGCAGGCTCCAGGCTCCGAGCTGTTAGCACAGAGCCCTCCATGGGGCTCGAACTCACAAACCACAAGATCCTGACCTGAGCTAAAGTCGGACACTTAACGGACTGAGCCACCCAGGCGCCCCTCCCCCTCGCAGGATCTTAAACAAAATCGCATCTGTAAAGATTTTTTTTTTAAGCTTATTTATTTTTGAGAGAGAGGGTGAGCAGAGCAGGTGCAGAGAGGGGAGGGACAGAGGATCTGAAGCAGGGTCCACACTGACAGCAGAGAGCCGGATATAAGGCTCGAACTCACGAACTGTGAGATCACCACCTGAGCGGAAGGCAAGCTGCTTAACCGACTGAGCCACCCAGGCGTCCCACAACTGTAAATATTTTACCCTACGAGGTAACATCCACAGATTCCAGGGATCAGGACCTGATATTTTGGGGACCATTATTCAGCCTCCTACAAGCACTGGGGTCGACAGCTAATCCTTGCTTCCCAGGAGCAGTGGTGGTCAGCCTCAACCACAGACTAACAAGAGAGAACCATTCTCCCTTTCTCTCCCTACATGATTCCCTCCTCCAACCTGCTCCATTCCATCTGAGTCTTTCCCGCTGAGAATCTCCCCTCTCCTGTCCTGGATATGCCCAAGCAGGCGGTCGACACCATGGACAGGCATTTGTGCAATGTTGCAGGGGCCACAAACCCAGGTAGGACCTGGGCCTTGCTCCTGAAGAGCATGAGACTTTCTATAACAGTCACAATGCGGACGTCCTGGAGGGCAGCCATCCTGCCTCAACTGTCGCTGTATTCTAGGGCTTCCCACGGGGTAGACGCTCCAGGCTGATGCGGTCGGGACCCATCCCCCGCTGCCCCCCCTCATTCCCAAAGCGCGACTCACTCCCACCAAGCCCACTAAGGAAAAAACGCTTTATATCCTTAACCATTTCAGTGTTATTTCCAGAAGTGGGTATTATTATCACTGTTGTTTTTAACATCAGTCCCATCTTACACATACGGAAAACTGAGGCCCAGAGACAGACTTGTTCAATGTCGCACAGCCAAGCCCTGGCAGAGCCAGGGCTCCAACCCCGGTTTTCTGACTCCGAGTCCCATGTCCTCTCCAAGATGCCATGCTGCCTTCCTAGAGCCTGCTTTGGATCCCATGTCTCCCTCTCTCTCTGCCCCTCCCTGCTCACACTCTCTGTCTCTCTCTCTCAAAAATAATAAATTAACAATAAAGATTTACAAAGGGGGGGGCACCTGGGTAGCTCAGTTGGTTAAGTGTCTGACTTCAGTTCAGGTCATGATCTTGCATATGGTCAGTTCAAGCCCCGCGTCGGGCTCTGTGCTGACAGCTCAGAGCCCGGAACCTGCTTCGGATTCCGTGTCTCCTTCTCTCTCTGTCCCTCCCCCGCTCATGCTCAGCCTCTCTCTCTCTCTCTCTCTCAAAAATAAATGAATACTTAAACAATAAATAAATAAAATCACCTGCACAGGAATTCTCATCTCAGAGTCTCCTGGAAAAACCTGATCGCAACTGTACTTAGAGCTCATTTCATCCTCGGAAAACCTTACGAAGTAGAATTCCTGCTCTCCTCGTTGTTACGGCAGAAGAAGCCTGAGGTACACGATAGCTACTTAACTTACGCGGGGCCACACAGCTAGTTGGTGGCACCCAGTTAGTGGCACCTGGTTGACACAGTCAGGCGGTCGTGGGGGCAGAGCCCACGCTGCCATCCTGCCGGCCTCCCGTGGCCCAAGCTCCTGACGTTATCGGCAAGTGTATGGGCTAGAAGAGCACCCCCCCCCCCACCAACCTCTGTCCATCCGGAACCTCAGAATGTGATCTTCCGTGAAAAGAGTCTCTACAGATGCAACTGATGAAGACGAGGTCACGCCACACGAGGGGGGCCCTAAATCCTAGCACCGGAACCCTTAGAAGGGAAAGGAGACGGGGCTTCTGACACAGACACACAGACCACATGACAATGGAGAGGCTGGAGGGACGTGGCCACAAGCCAAGGCACGCTGGTGGCCTCCAGCAGCGGAACGAGGCTCCCACACCTTGACTTTGGACTCCTGGCCTCCAGATCTGTGAGAGGACGCACTTCCGTTGTTTCAAGCGCCCCAGTTCATGGTGCTTTGCTACAGTAACCCCAGGAAACTCAACTGCTCTGGCAAGCTTATGCAGAAAGGCCCAGAGAGGGTGCACGGCTGAGTCTTTACTGAGCTAAAATTCATACCAGTCACTCTCAGCTTCCACGTAAGGCTCGGCTGGTAGGACCAAATCAACCTAATCGCCCTCAGGGACATCTTTTACTGGGCAGCTCCAAGTCTGATGCTCCATACACTTTGTTCTCACCAATCCTAGGAGCCGGGAGCTGCTGTTCCCATTTCACAGGTAAGGAATCTGAGGATGGGAACGGTAGGTTAGGTGCCCTTCCCCGGTGACCCGGTTGGTAAGGGTGGGGCTGGGATCTGAACTCCACCCGGCAGTCTCTGAGAACACGATGCCTTATATTAAGGGGGGGGGGGGGCCCACGGCTGCTCTTCAGAAAATGGCTCTGTGGTCGGTTTTCCTCCTCTCCTGGTTACGGAGTTGTTTGGCCAGAGCCCAAGAATTTTTTCCAGACCCTTGAGCACATCCCTACCCCCGCCCCCCACATCTCCCTAGTCCAATGGCTCTGAGACCTGCAATTCATTTCCGCATACGCTAACAAGTAGTTTTTCTTTAAAAAATTTTTTTTTAATGTTTATTTATTTTTTAGAGACAGAAAGACAGAGTGTGGGCGGGGGAGGGGCAGAGAGGGAGAGGGAGACACAGACTCCGATGTAGGCTCCAGGCTCTGAGCTGTCAGCACAGAGCCCAACGTGTGGTTCGAACTCACGAACCGGGAGATCACGACCTGAGCCGAAGTCGGACGCTCAACCGAATGAGCCACCCAGGCGCCCCTAACAAGCAGTTTTTCTCGTTGCCCTCCAGCCGACAAAAAGGATTTCCAAAAACAAGGGGCAGGGACGTGCTCTTTAATCTGGAGACTTCCAGGGAGCAGGAGACAGCAGACAGTGCCCTGTGCCCCGTGTTAGTCTAATAAGCACTGTTGCATATGCAGGGCGAGCTCATCTACACAGGCTCTCCTGGCCCACTCGCCCCACACCTCACAGCGGCGCCCTCAAATCCTCACTCAGCCCCTGGGCCTTGCCCCACATCTCAAGGAGCGCCTGGCACACAGGTCGAACGTCACGGGCTCCACCTCCCCGCAGGGACCCCTCTGCCCAACGTCTGTTCCTCTCACAGGTGGCAGAAATGCTTTTGTCCGTGCTGTGTTCCCATGGTTTCCCCATGCAAAATAAAAATAACCGTGAAAGGCATGCCTGGCATCTGCCCGGTCTCTCCACTCGGGTGGGGGTTGTGCTGAGTGGAAAACCCAAGCCTCCCCGAGCTAACCCTTTGGGAGTCGGACCCACGCTAGATGCCAATGAAGGGCGTCTCAGATGGTGCCCATGGGGGCTAAGCCCACAGGGGTCTGGAAAGAGAGCTGAGGCAAAGCTCTCCCACTCAGAGCAGACAGATGTGATGATGTGCACAGGAGCAGCCGCTCCGGGCGTTCACGGCCATGGCCTGAGGCCCCAGATGCCTTTGTAGCATCACTGGGGCAGGCAAGGGAGCTCCCGGGTCACCCCCAGAGGTCCCAGACAGAAAGGCAGCTGAGGGCTCTTCAATAACCTCAACGTAGTTACCCACACAGCCCAGCAATTCCACTCCCAGGTATACACCCCAAAGCACTGAAAACACACGTCTGCACAAAAACTTGTGCTGGAATGTTCACAGCAGCACTATTCACACCAGCCCAAAGCTGGAAACAACCCAAGTGTCCGTCGACAGATGAATGGATAAGCAGAAAACGCGGCCTATCCGTACAGTGGGGTATCGCTCAGCCATAAAAAGGAGCGAGGCAGGGACAGCCGCTACATGTGGACGAACCCTGAGGTCACCATGCCGAGTGAAAGAAGCCAGACACAAGAGATCACCTATTAATCGATCCCATTTACATGAAGCGTCCAAAAAAGGCAAATCTACGGAGGCAGAAAGCAGATCGGTGGTTGCTTGCGGCTGGGGGTGAGATGGCAGCGGGAAGAATCGGGTAACGGTGGTGGTAAAGGGGGTTGG